GGTGTATTTTTTTCCTTTAGTGGTGGTTTCTGATGCAGGATTCTGTTTTGCACCGTTTCTATCTTGAAATTCAAGTTGACCAGCCGTTTTTTCCCCCCCCTCGAGTATCCCCCTATTCTCTGAAAATTTATCAGCTCAGCCATGTCCTCCTCTCCTGTGGGAGAGGAAGGGATCCTATACTTGTAAGAACATAAGAAAGAAGGAGCACTGCAGCAGGCCTACTGGCCCATGCGAGGCAGGTGCAGTTCTCCTACCAGCTTAAGCCAATGCCCTAACCTAGTCAAGTCAGGTCACATTCACTTAAGGAGCACAACATCTGACCTAGTAGCACAAGCTAGTCAGGTCCAACTCACACCCACTCATGTATTTATCTAACCTATTTTTTAAAACTACACAATGTCTTCTATGACGGTACTCTGGAGTTTGTTCCACTCATCCACAACTCGATTACCAAACTAGTGCTTTCCTATATCCTTCCTGAATCTAATTTCTTCAACTTAAAGCCATTGCTGCAAGTCCTGTCTAGGCTAGATATTTTTAGCACTGTTTACATCCCCTTTATTTATTCCTGTTTTCCATTTATACACCTCATCATATCCCCCCTAATTCTATGCCTTTCTAGACAGTGCAGATTCACAGCCCTCAATCTATCCTCAATAGGGAAGATTTCTGATCCATGGGATCAACTTTGTCATCCTCTTTTGTACGTTTTCCAGTGTATTTATATCCATTCTGTAATATGGTGACCAGAACTGAGCAGCATAATATAAGTAAGACCTAACCAAAGATATATAGAGTTGAAGAACAACCTGAGGGCTTCTATTATTTATACTTCTTGATATGAAGCCAAGGATTCTGTTAGCTTTATTGCGAACACTTATGCACTGTTGTCTTGGTTTTAGATTACTGCTAACCAGAACTCCTAAATCCTTTTCGCAATCAGTAATATTAAGATCGACATTATTTAGTTTATGTGGCATGGTTATTTCCTGTCCTTCATTTGGAACTTTGCATTTGTCTATATTAAACTGCATCTGCCACTTCTTCGTGTGTGAGAGGGAGCCGAGGAGGGCAATCACATACTAGTGTATGTGGGAACCCAGCGGGAGGGCCCACACTGGTGGGTGTGGGAACCCAGCAGGAGGGCCCACACTTGTTGGTGTGGGAACCCAGCAGGAGGGCCCACACTGGTTGGTGTGGGAACCCAGCAGGAGGGCCCATACTTGTTGGTGTGGGAACCCAGTGGGAGGGCCCACACTGGTTGGTGTGGGAACCCAGCAGGAGGGCCCACACTGGTTGGTGTGGGAACCCAGCAGGAGGGCCCACACTGGTTGGTGTGGGAACCCAGCGGAGGGCCCATCTGGTTGGTGTGGGAACCAGCAGGAGGGCCCACACTGGTTGGTGTGGGAACCCAGCAGGAGCCCATAGTGGTTGGTGTGGGAACCCAGCAGGAGGGCCCACGCTGGTTGGTGTGGGAACCCAGCAGGAGGGCCCACACTGAATGGTGTGGCAACCCAGCAGGAGGGCCCACTGGTTGGTGTGGGAACCCAGCAGGAGGGCCCACGCTGGTTGGTGTGGGAACCCAGCAGGAGGGCCCACACTGGATGGTGTGGGAACCCAGCAGGAGGGCCCACACTGGTTGGTGTGGGAACCCAGCAGGAGGGCCCACGCTGGTTGGTGTGGAAACCCAGCGGGAGGGCCCACACTGGTTGTGTGGGAACCCAGCAGGAGGGCCCACACTGGTCGATGTGGGAACCCAGTAGGAGGGTCCACACTGGTCGGTGGGAGGGAACCCAGTAGGAGAGCCGACACTGGTGGGTGGGTGGGAACCAAGCAGGAGAGCCCACACTGGTGGGTGGGCAGGAACCCAGCAGGAGGGCCCACACTGGTGGGTGGGCAGGAATCCAGCAGGAGGGCCCATGCGCTGGTGGGTGAGCAGGAGCCCAGCAGGAGGGCCCACACACTGGTGGATGGGCAGGAAGCCCAGAGGAGGGCCCACAACTGGTGGGTGGGAGGAACCCAGCAGGAGGGCCCACACTGGTGGGTGGGCAGGAACCCAGCAGGAGTGCCCACACTGGCGGGTGGACAGGAACCCAGCAGGAGGGCCCACACACTGGTGGGTGGGCAGGAACCCAGCAGGAGGGCCCACACTGGTGGGTGGGTAGGAACCCAGCAGGAGGGCCCACACACTGGTGGGTGGGCAGGAACCCAGCAGGAGGGCCCACACATTGGTGGGTGGCCAGGAACCCAGCAGGAGGGCCCACACACTGGTGGGTGGCCAGGAACCCAGCAGGAGGGCCCTCTCTGGTGAGTGGGCAGGAACCCAGCAGGAGGGCCCACTATGGTGGGTAGGCAGGAACCCAGCAGGAGGGCCCACACACTGGTGGGTGGGCAGAAACCCAGCAGGAGGGCCCCACACTGGTGGATGGTCAGGAACCCAGCAGGAGGGCCCACACCGGTGGGTGGGTAGGAACCCAGCAGGAGGGCCCACACATTGGTGGGTGGCCAGGAACCCAGCAGGAGGGCCCACACATTGGTGGGTGGCCAGGAACCCAGCAGGAGGGCCCCCACACTGGTGGGCGGCCTGGAGCCCAGCAGGAGGGCCCACACACTGGTGGGTGGCCTGGAACCCAGATGGAGGGCCCACTCACTGATGGGTGGGCAGGAACCCAGCAGGAGGGCCCCCACACTGGTGGGTGGCCTGGAACCCAGCAGGAGGGCCCACACACTGGTGGGTGGGCAGGAACCCAGCAGGAGGGCCCACACTGGTGGTGGGCAGGAACCCAGCAGGAGGGCCCCCACACTTGGTGGGTGGCCTGGAACCCAGCAGGAGGGCCCACACTGGTGGGTGGCAGGAACCCAGCAGGAGGGCCCCACACCAGACTGGTGGGTGGGTAGGAACCCAGCAGGAGGGCCCACACATTGGTGGGTGGCCAGGAACCCAGCAGGAGGGCCCACACATTGGTGGGTGGGCAGGAACCCAGCAGGAGGGCCCTCTGGTGAGTGGGCAGGAACCCAGCAGGAGGGCCCACTATGGTGGGTAGACAGGAACCCAGCAGGAGGGCCCACACACTGGTGGGTGGCGGAACCAGCTGGAGGGCCACACATGGTGGGCGCGCAGGAACCCAGCAGGAGGGCCCCCACACTGGTGGGTGGCCTGGAGCCCAGCAGGAGGGCCCACACACTGGTGGGTGGCCTGGAACCCAGCTGGAGGGCCCACTCACTGGTGGGTGGGCAGGAACCCAGCAGGAGGGCCCCCACACTGGTGGGTGGCCTGGAACCCAGCAGGAGGGCCCACACACTGGTGGGTGGGCAGGAACACAGCAGGAGGGCCCACACATTGGTGGGTGGCCAGGAACCCAGCAGGAGGGCCCACACATGGGTGGGTGGGCAGGAACCCAGCAGGAGGGCCCTCTGGTGAGTGGGCAGGAACCCAGCAGGAGGGCCCACTATGGTGGGTAGACAGGAACCCAGCAGGAGGGCCCACACACTGGTGGGTGGCTTGGAACCCAGCTGGAGGGCCCACACACTGGTGGGTGGGCAGGAACCCAGCAGGAGGGCCCCCACACTGGTGGGTGGCCTGGAGCCCAGCAGGAGGGCCCACACACTGGTGGGTGGCCTGGAACCCAACCCTGGAAGCCCAGCATGGGTGGGGACCCACAGACCCACTGGTGGGTGGGCGGAACCCAGCAGGAGGGCCCCGCAACACAGTGGGGGCACTGGGGCTGAACCCAGCAGGAGGGCCCACACACTTCGTGATGTAGTCCAGCTGGCTTGTGAGGTCTCTGGGGAGACCTAATTTAACCAATTATATGGTCACACCTTGCCTTGGCAAACGTCTGTCAGCCACGCCCACGTCTGAGGTCTTTTGTTCTTGACGGCGTCAGACCTAGGCGTCAGGTCGTACACGTGGTTGTGGGGTGTGCTTGGACCACCATATAAACCCAAGGAACAGCTGAGCAGAGGAGATTCGGGCAAAGCTTTGGCCTGGGAGCAGAGCTGAGCTGGAGAGTCTCGGAAGGAGAGACTGTTGGAGACATTGGGCAGAGTACTGGCTTGGAGCAGTACTCGTGCTGTGTAGGTCTTGGGACCTGTGGCTTAGTTCCTGTAGTGAACTGTCCTCTGTACTATATTGTAAGTTATATTCATTTTCGTCAAGTTGATTGTGTTCCCTGTCTCACTGCTTATATGTACCACTCTATTTGTCTAAACCACAATAATGTTCCCCTGTTCCCAAATATATTATTGTACAAAGACTTAATAATAAACTGTGTTTGAGTAGAATAGTAATATTCACTGTCCCCGTTATTTGCTATTCCTATTTCTTATATTTTATTATTTTTAGTTAAAGTAGTGAGAGGGTGAGTAGTGTGGAGTGGTGGGTCAAGTAATGAGAGGTGAAGTTGTAGCCACCAGTGACCTCACATTACCTACCAACCTCTGCTAATCATCTCCTACCACTTCACCTGCCTATCCCCTGCCTATACATACCCTCTTACTCCCATATCCCCCTAATCATTACCCCCCTACATGACACACTGGTGGGTGGGCAGGAACCCAGCAGGAGGGCCCACACACTGGTGGGTGGGCAGGAACCCAGCAGGAGGATCCACACTGGTGCATGAGCAGGAACCCAGCAGAAGGGCCCACACTGGTATGTGTGTGGGAATGTGAGAAATTTCACGTTATATAATGCCTCTCATCGTCTTCTGATTTCTTCGATTTTTTTGCATACTATTCACATCACACATTACTATCAAGCATAACAATCAGAAAAATAGTAATAAAATGTATATTTATCTAAGAGATAAATGTTGAAAACAATGAACTGATAAGTAGATGACATAGAAACTGCTACTGTGTGACAGTGAAGATTAGGCTTAGATTACTTTGTTTTAGGCTATCATTATTATTACAAGTATCCTACTACAGTAATTATCAACTGAGCACTACGTCTAATTTTAGAGCTTCAGTAAATAAAATTTCTGGGAGCACTGTACCTGAGATGTTAGTGTTGAAGGAGCTGGCAGTCCTCTACCCTGGCTGATAAACAGTCAAGATGAAAATTGTCATGCATGAATATTATTCCAATGAAAATACGGCTTATAATTTTTTTACTGTCATTAAATTTTAATTTAATTAATGTAAGTGCATTTTTTTTATTGTATGAAAATGCTTATATGGAAGAAATTAATACTTGGTAACTGTAGTTAACCTTGAGGCAAGGTTCCAACACCACAACCAGATATTGACTTACTTTTGACTTCATATATTCCTGCATCAATAAATATATAACTTGTTGTGATATTAACATTGTAATTAAGCATGCTAAATCAGTTGAGAAAAATTATTGCAAGGGAAATGAGCATTCTGCTGAATAAATATGTAAAGGATTGTTTTATGCAAGTACATGTGACTCGCAACAATTTATATATTTGGGGACTTGTTAGAGTAGGAACCAGGACACACCCATTGTATATTTTTGGTTTATTTGTCTTGTTTTAGTTAATTCTATTTTGAATGTTTTTTTTATATTGCCTTAAAACTTGTAACTTGTTTATGTAATCTTTTGTGGTATTTTTAGTTATCAGTTGGAGGTAGGAAGAGGCATTGATGTCTTCATGCCAACGTATAGATCGAACTTTTCCAGTTTTGTTACAACACACACACACACACACACTTCCAGTACCAGTTTATGTGCTGGAAAGTCTGGGTTGAAACTGCTGTCACAATATTTTATTTTGTAAAGTACCAGCTTCTCGTTTTTGTTTGGACACGATCATCAGAGAGTCTTCTCACGACTAGACCTAAATTTTTACATTTAATCTGCTCATAATTTAGAGTTTGATATCGCTCATGTTCGATTGAACATTATAGAAATTCTATACAGATTATAGGTCCAGAAATGTGGGATAACTTAACAGACGAACCGAAGAGTTGCAAAACTCGTAGCCAATTCAATACCAAGCCAAAGCAGTCGTTATGTGCCTAACACTGTAGTCAAATAATTTGTAAGTAGCCTTTAATTAGTGTGTTGGTTTCGCCTTAGGAGCGCTGCTGCTTCAATATATTGTACTGAGTGTCACATAATGTAAAAAAAAAAAAAATGAACCTGAGAATATATTTGGTTGAATTTAATCTGCTGTTAGGTATATATTCACTAGAATTAGTTCTGTTCTACTTAACTCGTTAAATGTCTTTGTATATACGTGCCTGCAATTTTTTTTGATGCCTTTATGTTATACTATTCTGAAGATAGGTTCAAGCTTGCCAACCAGGCCTCTCCATTTGTACTCTTAATTGTCATCCAATTTTATATAAAAAAAAAAACTGTAGTATACGTAAAAATTACTGCTGCTGCCGCTGCCGCTGCCGCCGCCGCTGCCGCCGCTGCTGCCGCCGCCGCTGCACCAAACTATCGGTATTCTCGGGTATCAGTGATAAAACTGTCAAAATCAGCAGACATAGTGAAAGTACTTATATTACACGTGTGCAAAAAAAAAAAAACATTAAAATTAACACATGCGCGCACCTACATATACCAGAACATACTAGAAGTATAAGATGGAAATACCTTAAACAGGTCTGTGTAGGTCTTTATCTTTAATTATCGTTAAGTAAGAAATACGAAGGACGAGGAGGAGGACGCACACACGCACACGCACGCACACGCACGCACACACACACGCACATACACACACCATACACACAACGCACACCACACACACACACACACACACACACACCACATACACATACACACACACATACACACACACACATACACACACACATACACACACACAACACACACACACACACACATACACACACATACACACACACACACACACACACACACATACACACACAACACACACACATACACACATACACACACACAACACAACATACACACACACACACACACACACACACACACACACACACACACATCACACACACATAATACCAACACATATATAACACATACACACATACATACACACATACATACAACATACAACACACACACACACCACCACACACACACACACACACACACACACACACACACACACACACAACACACACACAATAACAGATGCAATCTTCCCACCAGGATACCAGATCATGAGGAAAGATAGAAGGGGCAGGGGGGGGAGGTGGGGTTGCTCTGCTCGTAAAAAACAGATGGAAATTCGAGAAAATGGAAGGAATAGATGAGACGGGAGAAAGAGACTACATAGCAGGTACACTTCAGTCTGGGGAACACAAAGTGGTCATTGCAGTGATGTATAATCACCACAGAACTGCAGGAGGCCAAGAGAGGAATATGAAGAGAGCAACAGAGCAATGGTGGACACACTTGCTGAGGTGGCAAGAAGAGCTCACTCCAGCAGAGCAAAGTTGCTGGTTATGGGGGATTTCAACCACAGGGAGATTGACTGGGAAAACCTGGAGCCACATGGGGGTCCCGAAACATGGAGAGCCAGGATGTTGGACGTGGTGCTGGAAAACCTCATGCACCAACATGTTAAGGACACTACCAGAGTGAGAGGGGAGGATGAACCAGCAAGATTGGACCTTGTGTTCACCTCTGGGCAGCTCAGATATTGAGGACATCAAGTATGAGAGTCCCCTAGGAGCTAGCGACCACGTGGTTCTGTGCTTGAATACATAGTAGACTGCAAGTGGAGAGAATAACAGGAGTTGAATGGGAAAAGCCTGACTATAAAAGAGGGGACTACATAGGGTTGAAGAACTTCCTGCGGGAGGTCCAGTGGGACAGAGAACTGGCAGGAAAGCCAGTAAATGAAATGATGGAATATGTAACAACAAAATGCAAGGAGGCAGTGGAAAGGTTTATTCCCAAGGGCAACAGTAACAATGGGAAGACCAGAACGAGCCCCTGGTTTACCCGACGTTGTAAGGAGGCAAAAACAAAATGCAATAGAGAATGGAAAAAGTACAGAAGGCAGAGAACACACGAAAATAGGGAGATCAGTCGCAGAGCCAGGAATGAGTACGCACAGGTAAGGAGGGAGGCCCAGCGACAGTATGAAAATGACATAGCATGGAGAATCAAGACTGACCCAAAACTGTTGTATAGCCACATCAGGAGGAAGACAGTCAAAGACCAGGTGATCAGATTAAGGACAGAAGGTGGAGAACTCACAAGAAATGATCAGGAGGTATGTGAGGAGCTGAACAGGAGATTTAAGGAAGTTTTTACAGTAGAGACAGGAAGGGCTGTGGGAAGACAGCACAGAAGGGAACATCAAGAGGGAATATACCAACAAGTGTTGGATGACATACGAACAACTGAGGAGGAGGTGAAGAAGCTCTTAAGTGACCTTGACACCTCAAAGGCGATGGGACCGGACAACATCTCCCATGGGTCCTTAGAGAGGAGCAGAGATGCTGTGCGTGCCTCTAACCACAATCTTCAACACATCCCTTGAAACTGGGCAACTACCTGAGAAAGGAAGACAGCTAATGTTGTCCCCATATTTAAGAAAGGAAACAGAAACGAGGCACTAAACTACAGACCTGTGTTCTGACATGTATTGTGTGCAAAGTCATGGAGAGATTATCAGGAGGAGAGTGGTCGAACACCTGGAAAGGAACAAGATTATAAATGAAAACCAGCATGGGTTCATGGAAGGCAAATCTTGTATCACAAACCTCCTGGAGTTTTATGACAAGGTAACAGAAGTAAGACACGAGAGAGGGGGGGTGGGTAGATTGCGTTTTCCTAGACTGCAGGAAGGCCTTTGACACAGTTCCCCACAAGAGATTAGTGCAGAAGCTGGAGGATCAGGCGACGTAAAAGGGAGGGCACTGCAATGGATAAGGGAATACCTGACAGGGAGGCAGCAACGAGTCATGGTACGTGAAGAGGTATCACAGTGGGCGCCTGTTACGAGCGGGGTCCCACAGGGGTCAGTTCTAGGACCAGTGCTATTTTTGATATATGTGAACGACATGATGGAAGGAATAGACTCTGAAGTGTCCCTGTTCGCAGATGACGTGAAGTTGATGAGAAGAATTAAATTGGACGAGGATGAGGCAGGACTGCAAAGAGACCTGGACAGGCTGGACATGTGGTCCAGCAACTGGCTTCTCGAATTCAATCCAGCCAAATGCAAAGTCATGAAGATTGGGGAGGGGCAAAGAAGACCGCAGACAGAGTATAGGCTAGGTGGACAAAGACTACAGACCTCACTCAGGGAGAAAGACCTTGGGGTGACCATAACACCGAGCACATCACCGGAGGCACACATCAACCAAATAACCGCTGCAGCATACGGGCGCCTGGCAAACCTGAGAATAGCGTTCCGATACCTTAATAAGGAATCGTTCAAGACACTGTGTTATGTTAGGCCATACTGGAGTATGCAGCCCCAGTCTGGAACCCGCACCTGGTCAAGCACGTCAAGAAGTTAGAGAAAGTACAAAGGTTTGCAACAAGGCTAGTCCCAGAGCTCGAGGGAATGTCGTACGAGGAAAGGTTAAGGGAAATCGGACTGACGACATTGGAAGGACAGAAGGGTCAGGGGAGACATGATAACGACATACAAGATACTGCAGGGAATAGACAAGGTGGACAGAGATAGGATGTTCCAGAGAGGGGACACAGGGACAAGGGGTCACAACTGGAAGCTGAAGACTCAGACGAGTCACAGGGACGTTAGGAAGTATTTCTTCAGTCATAGAGTTGTCAGCAAGTGGAATAGCCTAGCAAGTGAAGTAGTGGAGGCAGGAACCATACATAGTTTTAAGAAGAGGTATGACAAAGCTCAGGAAGCAGAGAGAGAGAGGATCCAGTAGCGATCAGTGAAGAGGCGGGGCCAGGAGCTGAGTCTCGACCCCTGCAACCACAATTACGGTGAGTACACACACACACACCGATAAAACAGGCCCAGTGTCTAATCGACATGTGCCTAGGACAAAATGGTAACAAACACACACACACACACACGCGCACGCACACACAATTGGCTCCTGGAGTTCAATCCCACCAAGTGCAAAGTCATGAAGATTGGGGAAGGGCAAAGAAGACCGCAGACGGAGTACAGTCTAGGGGGCCAGAGACTACAAACCTCACTCAAGGAAAAAGATCTTGGGGCGTATAACACCAGGCACATCTCCTGAAGCGCACATCAACCAAATAACTGCTGCAGCATATGGGCGCCTGCAAACCTCAGAACATTCCGACATCTTAATAAGGAATAGTTCAGGACCCTGTACACCGTGTACGTTAGGCCCATATTGGAGTATACGGCACCAGTTTGGAACCCACACCTAGCCAAGCATATAAAGAAACTAGAGAAAGGGCAAAGGTTTGCAACAAGACTAGTCCCAGAGCTAAGAGGTATGTCCTACGAGGAGAGGTTAAGGGAAATCAACCTGACGACACTGGAGGACAGGAGAGAGAGGGGGGACATGATAACGACTTATAAAATACTGAGAGGAATTGACAAGGTGGACAAAGACAGGATGTTCCAGAGATGGGACACAGCAACACGGGGACACAGTTGGAAGCTGAAGAGACAGATGAATCACAGGGATGTTAGGAAGTATTTCTTCAGCCACAGAGTAGTCAGTAAGTGGAATAGTTTAGGAAGCGATGCAGTGGAGGCAGGATCCATACATAGCTTTAAGCAGAGGTACGATAAAGCTCATGGTTCAGGGAGAGTGACCTAGTAGCGACCAGTGAAGAGGCGGGGCCAGGAGCTTGGACTCGACCCCTGCAACCTCAACTAGGCGAGTACAACTAGGTGAGTACACACACACACACACACACACACACACACACACACACACACACACACACACACACACACACACACACGCACACGCACGCACGCACGATGTAAAGTTAATGATGAGAATTAAATCGGATGAGGATCAGGCAGGCCTTCAAAGAGACCTGGACAGGCTGCAAGCCTGGTCAAGCAACTGGCTCCTCAAATTTAACCCCGCCAAATGCAGTCATGAAGATCGGAGAAAGGCAAAGAAAACCGCAGACAGAGTATATATATGTGGCCAAATTCTGCAAACCTCACTCAAGGAAAAGGATCTTGGGATGAGTATAATACCGAGCACATCTCCTGAGGCGCACATTAACCAGATAACTGCTGCAGCATATGAGCGCCTGGCAAACCTAAAAATAGCATTTCGACACCTCAGTAAGTAATCGTTCAAGACTCTGTACACCGTGTACGTCAGGCCCATATTGGAGTATGCAGCACCAGTTTGGAACACCACACTCGGTCAGGTACGTCAAGAAATTAGAGAAAGTGCAAAGGTTTGCAACAAGATTAGTCCAGGAGCTGAGGGGAATGTCCTACGAAGAAAGGTTAAGGAAAATGGGCCTGATGACACTGGAGGATAGGAGGGTTAGCGGAGACATGATAGCGGCATAAAATACTGCAAGGAATTGACAAGGTGGACAAAGACAGGATATTCCAGAGATGGGACACAGTAACAAGGGGTCACAATTGGAAGTTGAAGACTCAGATGAATCAAAAGGATGTTAGGCTGCAGTGTTCCTTCTTTATGTTCTTATGAAGTATTTCTTCAGTCGGAGTTGTCAGGAAGTGGAATAGCCTGGGAAGTGTCGTAGTTTACCTGGAGAGAGTTCCGGGGGTCAACGCCCCCGCGGCCCGGTCTGTGACCAGGCCTCATCAACCAGGCTGTTACTGCTGGCTGCACGCAATCCAACATACGAGCCACAACCCGGCTGGTCAGGTACCGACTTTAGGTGCTTGTCCAGTGCCTGCTTGAAGACAACCAGGGGTCTATTGGTAATCCCCCTTGTGTGTGCTGGGAGGCAGTTGAACAGTCTTGGGCCCCTGACACTGTGTTGTCTCATAACGTGCTAGTGACACCCCTGCTTTTCATTGGGGGAATGTTGCATCGTCTGCCGAGTCTTTTGCTTTCGTTGTGAGTGATTTTCGTGAGCAAGTTTGGTACTAGTCCCTCTAGGATTTTCCAGGTGTATATAATCCTGTATCTCTCCCGCCTGCGTTCCAGGGAATACAGGTTCAGGAACCTCAAGCGCTCCCAGTAATTGAGGTGTTTTATCTCCGTTATGCGCGCCGTGAAGGTTCTCTGTACATTTTCTAGGTGGAGGAAGGAACCATACATAATTTTAAGATGAGGTTTGATAAAGCTCATGGAGCAGGGACAGAGAGGACCTGGTAGCGATCAGCGAAGAGGCGGGGGCCAGATTATTATTATAATCAAAAAGAAGCGCTAAGCCACAAGGACTATACAGCAGGCGGGGGCCAGAAGCGGTGACTCGACCCATGCAACCACAGTTAGGCGAGTACAGCTGGCTTACCGGTCCGCTCCTTTAAAATTAAGGTAGCAGCATCAAGAAGCAGCTGCTAAGATGAAGTCAGCATTGGATTGGAGAACATGAGATTGAATTTGAAAAGTGTTAAATGTTCAGCTGTTGAAGTGTGAGCAGGTTAATATTTAAAAGGATTCAGTGAAACTGGTTAGCCGGACTTGAGTTCTGGAGGTGGAAAGTTCAGTGTTTACACTCTGAAGAGAGGGGTGTGGATGCTGCGGTTTGTGGGGTCACGTGAACTGTGACATCATGCTTCTGGCAGGACAGTGTTTGAATGAATGAAGTGAAAGTAATTTAATTTTTGTTGGGTCACGGCAGGTGATTTTTTTTATTATGCACAAATTATATTGCTTATATATAGATGATAATCGATTCTGTACTTATAATTACCTTTGTGTGTTATGCAGCTTAAGAGAAGTTCCAGGAAAACTCACCTACCACTCATCATTTTCAGCCCTGATTACCAGATGGGATACAGTCAGCCATCTTATGAGCCGCCGCCTCATCAGCAACAGCCGCCTCAAACACCACAGCAGCAGCACCAAGTTTATACTCACCAGGAATATGAACAGCAGCAGCAGCAACCACCGCAGCAAGTTTACCAACAGCAGCAGCCACAAATACCAACTACCTATCAGTCTCACTATAGCCAGCCTCCACAACAGACTCCTCAGTATCAGCAACAACATACACCTCAGGTATGCTTATTATTTTGTTAGCACACCGGTCATCTCCCACTAAGGCAGGGTAACCCATAATAAAGAAACATATTCACTACCATTCATTCATTAGCTATCTTACTAGAGTGTGTGCAGACAAATGGGTCTCCGAACTGCTTCAGACTGCAGGTACAGTTACTTTCCAAGACAAGACAAGACAAGAAAGTTTAGGTAAGACCCCTGTGGGGTGAGCGGGGAAGACGGGACAGGCGAAGTAAAGCTTTGGAGAGGAGTGTCCACAGTCGTAGAGAAAGTGCCAGGTCTTAACCCAGCAACTAGGCGCTTGTTAGGCAGGATTGGAGAAACAGGAGGAGCAGGCTGTGTTGCAACCGTCTTGTGGTAGTCGAAGGTCTTGAATCTTGAAAAGCTGGCAAAAGGCTAGGTCGCAGGGGAGGGCAGGCAGGTAGGAACATCACATGGGCAACTCACTGGTGGGTGTTATTGGAATGATTAAGGGTGCAGGTTTGTAGTGGAGCCATTTTCAGATTTATTGAAGCTGCTTCTATAGAGGTGGTATAGTTTAGTCTTGTTACCAAAGGTGAAACGTAGAGGCTTGATGAACTTAAGAACTTGGCTAAGTGTGAAGTGAAGTGGTGGCTCGCAGGCATACTTGACTGTTCCGGCACTGAGGCCTTTGTAGAGCTCAGTGTAAGTCATGGTGTCAGCATTTGATGGAGAAGTGTAGAAGGTAAGGTTTTCCCATGAGAATGTACTGGAGTCATCAATATCTTCTTTGAAAGCAGATTCAGTAGGCGAGTCTACAGTGGTGCTGGCAGGTGACTGTGGGTTGGCAGGAACAGTGGAGAGGTGTGTTGGTGGTGTAGGTTGGGAGGCGATGGTGGAGGCAGAATAATCAGCGTCGGCGGTGGAAGTAGTTGTAGAAGTTTCGTGAACGGTTGTTTGGGCAAAAGGAGACAGGTCTGCAGGTGCAGTAAAGTTCACAACATTGGGAAGGATCTTGAGGATGTCGGCTGAAGGTGTGGAGTCCTGGAAATCGAAGGCAGGCATGTTGTTCAGATGGAATAGTTCGTTTATGGTGGTGTTAAAAGTGCCGGATTTTGCTGCATTTGCAAAGTGCACGTGCATACATCATGCAGTACAGCACCTTAGAAAGAGCGCCGTCATGGAGACAGTGAGTTGCAGGGTAGATAAGTCTGCTGAGTGGCTTGAAGAATCTAAGAAGTATCAGACTGAAGCTTAGTGATTGCAGCATAGGTGGGCGATCTAGAAGAGTTATTTTCCTCTTGTATTTTCTTGGTCATAACTTCTTTTCTGAGTGGGCAGTGGGCATTGCCTTTATAGTCGTGTCCTTCACTTCCATAGTTGGCGCAAAATTTCCTATTCTTTATGGGGTAGTCCTTTGTAGCGTCGTTAAATGAGTAGCAAGTCCAGTATGTGGAGATACGTTTGAAATTCTCAGGTTCGCCTTGATTAGGGTGAATATGGTAATAAGAGATGTCCGGTTCGTCAGCAATGGCTTGGGAACCCATTGCAGTGTCCGTGAACGTGATCTTAATCATGGAGGAGGCATTTGGTATTTTGGTAACGGTATCCATCGTGTCGCAGGCATTCTGGTTCTCGATGGATGTCTTGAGTTCTTCAGTGGAAAGGACCGTGATGATACTGTCGAGTCGTTTGACGAAAACAGAACGTTTCGCCTTCATGCATGGAGAATTAGAGATTGTACAACCAAGTTCATGGAGATTTTTCATGGCAGTGGAGGTGTGGAGTTTGTCGCTTAAATCGTCCGCTAGTGGTGCAGGCCGACAGGAAGGCATTCTTGAGGGAAATGATGCTACAGAACTTGATCTGCAGGCCGCTTTTAAGGGTTCCTGAAAGATCAAGGTCGGAAACATCGTTGACTACCGAACTTGATTGCGTAATTTTGACACGATGGGACATCATGGAGAGTACAGGTGAATCCAATGGAACAGGTTCCCCTCCCCAAACGGGATCGAAGGGAGACTTCTCAGAGTTGCAGCACGCCCCCCCCCTTCTCCCCACAAAACACCCAAATCCACAACCCCGACCACACCCACACCCCCCACAAACACCCATAACCCCACACCCAGACAACACCCATAACCGCTCCCCCACAGACAACCCATAACACCACCCCCATAGCACCCATACCCCCCATCCCCACACAACCCCTACCCACCCCCCCCCCCACAAACACCCCATACCCCGTACCCCAAAAAACGTCCATACCCCCACCCCTAACAAAAACCATACCCCCACCCCCCCAAACACCCATACCTCCACCCCCACAAACCCCATACCTCCACCCCCTCACAAACACCCATACCTTCCACCCCCTCACAAACACCCATACCTCCACCCCCACAAACCCCAATAACCCCCACAAGCACCCTACCCACGTTCCCCCAACACACACACCCCGCCCACTCAGCACCACACACACACTCCCCGCCACTCGCCCCCAAGCAACCGCACACACCACAACCATCACACACTCACTCCACACAATACACACCCACAACAATACACACCCCACACAACACACACCCCACACAACACACACCCCCACACAACACACACCCCACAAACACACACACACCCCCCACACACACACCCCACACAACCCCACACCCCACAACACACACACCCCACACAAGCACACGACGCCCACACAACACAGCTACCCCACACAACACACAACCCACACAACCACACCCCACACAACACACACCCCACAACAACACACACCCCACACAACACACACCCCGACAAACACACACCCCTCACAACACACAATCCACACAACTACACACACACACAACACACACCCCACAAACACACCCCACACAACACACACCCCACACAACACACACAACACACACATCACACACAACACACACACAACATCACACAACACCACAACACACACAACACACACAACACACACAACAACACACAACACATCACCCACCCCACACAACACACCTCACATGCCCCCACACAACACACACACCCACACCCCACACACAACACACCTCACACCCCACACAACACACCTCACACCCACACATAACACACCTCACCCCCCACATAACACCCCCCACACACAAACACACCTCACACCACCACACACCACACACCTCACACAACACCACAACACACACCCACACACAACACACACCCTCACACAAACACACACCCCAACACAACACACCCCCACACACAACACAACAACCCCCACACACAACACACACCCCACACACACACACAACACACCCCCCACACACAACACACACCCCACACACAACACACACCCCACACACCACACACAGCCCACACACAACACACACCCCACACACAACACACACCCCACACACAACACACAGGGCTCCCGCACACACACACACCCCACACACCACCACACACAACACACCTTCCCACACACCCACACACAACAATACAACCACCACCCCACACACAACCAACACCCCCCACACACACACCCCACCTCACAACACAACACCCCACTCACAACACACCCACACAAAAACACACACCCCACACCACAACACACACCCACACACAACACACACCACACACACCCCCAACACAACACACACCCCACCACACAACACACACTCCCACACACAACAACACCCCCCACACCCAACACACCACAACACACACCCCACACACACCCCACACACAACACACACCCCACACACAACACACACCTCCCACACACACAACACACACCCCACACACAACACCCACCCCACACACAACCCACACCCCACACCAACATACACCCCCACACACAACACTACAGCCCCACACACAACACACACCCCACACACAACACACACCCACACACAAACACACAACCCCACACACAACACCTCACTCCCACACACAACACCCAACCCCACACAACAACACACCCCCACCCACACACCACCCCCACACCCACAAAAACACACCCCACACACAACACACCCCACACCCAACACTAACCCCACACACAACACAACACCCAACACACAACACACACCCCACACACAACACACAACCCAACACACAACACACACCCCACACACAACACACACCCCACACACAACACACACCCCACACACACACACACCCCACAACAGCAACACACACCCACACACAACAACACACCCCCCACACAACACACACCCCACACACCCCACACACACAACACACCCCCCCACAAGCCACACCTCACCACCCACAACCCACACCCCACACAAAAACAACACACACCCACACCCAACACCACACCCACACACACAACACACACCCCACACACTACACACTCCCCTCAACAGAACACGCAAACACAACACACACCCCGCACACTACACACACCGCACACACAACACACAAGACCCCCACACACACACACACCCCACACAACACACACCCCACACACCTACTCACACAACCACTCACAACAAACACCCCACACAAAACACATCACCCACTCACATCACCACCCCAATCACAAACACACAACCCAATCACAACAAACCCCACTCACAACACACACCCCACTCACAACACACCCCACCACAACACTCACCCCACTCAAAAAACACTACAACTAAAATAACACACCCCCAATCACAACACACACAACACACACTAACACAATCACACTCCACACAGCTAACGATAACACAACACAAACAACGAACAAAACAAAACTCACCGGACAAAAATAAAACTACCCAACAAATACACAACTCCAACACAAACACGACACACAACAAACATAAATCAATAAAATCTCACAACACTAAACACACCACACATCACAAACAAACAAATAAAACAAACAAAACCCACAATAAAAAACACCACAACTCAACTCAAAACAAACAAACATCAATCTCAGACCAAACTCAGAAACACACACCTCCACACAAAACATCGAACCACATCAACAGCATAACAGAACTAAATAAAACACCAAA